TTCTCCGAATGTGTTTTCCTTTTGCAAACGAATGTGGAAATGTGGCCGCGGCGAGGGGGTTCTCGGTAAAACCGCAGCCTTACAATAGAACGGGGATATTGTTGTCGGTAGAGAAAGGGCACCGGGCACGGAAGGAGCAGCAGTGCCATTCCCCAGGGAGAGCTAGGATTTTTTTTTTTTTTTTAGATTGGGAAACCTCCGTTCCTTTCCCTAGTCATCGCCTGTTGATTTCTTTCTGGACCATTTTACAGAAACCTACCGCCTTTTACTTGGACTTGGGATCCAGGAAAGTGACAGCCTTTTCCCCTGGGGGAGGTTCCCGAAGCTGTGCAAGTCCTGACAGTTGGGTCAGATAACAATCTAATAGCTTCACAGGGAGTTGGTTTCAAGTCCAGTGTCTGGGGGGAATTTACCAGTAAGGTTCCTAAATCTATAGGTTCTTAAAGCTGTGAGGAGGGGACCTGTCAAACTGTCAAGTTACTTTTTACCCCCCCTCTATTTAATCGAGTGCCTCCTCAGAGCCTTCCAGGGATGTTACAGCTGACCTAATGCCATCCTCATTTTCTGGTGGAAGGTGAAGCGTGGCTTGCCAATGATGGAACCCCAAATGTTGGGTGCCCTGTGGAATTTCCACCAAATTCTTATCCAGCATCAGCTTCCTCAGGTTGGGTTCCTTGTGCAGGATTGGGACACTATTCCCAAATCAGTCTAATTTATCAGAACGTATATCAGTGTACTTTAAAGCCTAGGGTTGTCGAGGCTTATGTAATCACTGTTAATTTGTAATTGTGTTACATTGCTTTCCAGATTTATAAAACCATTCCCTTGAGGAAATCTGTCTTCAACGTCTGCTTAAATATTTCTCTTGGAATTGGGTTCCTGAAGAGGAATGTACTGTACGAGTCGTGTTGAAAGCATACTAATTAATTAGACAGGCTCCTTAAAAAAAAACAAAAAACTATTGATTCTTTTACCCGACCATCTAATTGTCCCTATTAGGAAAACAGATGACATTCCCATTTTACAGAACTAGAAATGAGAGAAGTTACATGACATTCCCAAAGGCATGTATGGAAGCAGTGGAGAAGCTGAAAATCAAGCGCATGGTGTTAACTTTTCTTAATACTCCATTTTCAAGGCTTCCCAGGCAGGAACTCTGAGGGCCACCTGTCCATTTTTCAAATATACAGTCACTTTATTTTATTTTGTGCACAAAAATTACTCTCCCCTTATTAATTTTTTTACTATTCTGAGTAAATTTTGCTTGCAGTAAGATCCATTCATATAAAACATAGGAGAACTCAGAAGTTACACTGATTTTCATTTTTCTAGAACAGCAATATAGATGGGCCTTTATGGTGCAAATGTAACCCCATAATCCTAAAACGAAGGCTTTTAAATGTCCTTATTTAAATGGTAGGGCTTTTATATATTGTTACCCGTCACAGGAAATATTATTTGTCTAACGTTTACTGCGGGTGTTTCATATGAAAGTGAAACTAAATTGGGAAAAAAAAAGTATTTATTTTTGGCGAGATCCACAGCCATGGTTCTAAGCTTTGGTATAAATAAGCCATGATTTCTTCCCTGCAGCAGCTTGGCTGAGCCTAGGAGTTCATTGCATTGCCCAGGAAGAAAAGGGTACAAGTGAATTTTAGGAATTAAAAACATAGGTGAGGAACTCTAAAGATTTGATAGTCTTTGTATGCCAGATGTTGGCTTCACAACCAAAAGATAGCATTTTAGCCACATGCTTTTCTAGGAAAACTATTATTGGGAATTCAGGTACTTCCTAGCCTGCTTGTATGTGCAGGTAGATTCTTAGAGGGATCTGCGTGGAAATGGTGACTGGATCCTAGCAGTTTTGAATGTAAGCGTAACCTATGATCATTTATTCATGGAGCCTTTGTGTGTCTATTTTTGGGGCACTGGGTTAGAGGGTAGCAATAGGAAGGAGCTTGCAGGCTGTTGGGGACACCAGGGTAAGCAGTAACAGCAGGGTCTGGTGAAGGCTTCAGTGAGGCACAGGCAAATTACCACAGACGCAGAGATGGGCACAAGGACTCTGGCCTGGGAATGCTTCACAGAGGGAGTGATGGTTGAACTGCTCTTGGAGGACAGGTGGAGTTCCTAGGCAGAGAAAAGGGGGAGAGGGCTCCCAGAGCTCAGGGCGGCTAAAAAGACAGGGCCAAGTGCTGGAGGAAGAAGGTAGGTCCAAGTGGGTGAAAGGGAGGTGAGGTAGAAACGGTGCAGCTGTTCTTTTTTTAAAGAATATGAAGAGGAAGGGGGAGGAGTGGGGTGGTGGCTTTGGGGGTGGGGGAGAGTGTCCTGCTACCTTGTTTTAGTTTGGGGGGAGCTGATGTGAAATGTGTCAGACTCGGTGGCCTCTTGAATGAGCACTGGAGGTGTGTTGTCTGCACGGAGGACCTGGAGCTATGTTGTCCACACTGGCTCCCTTCCGCATCTGGTTTTCTGTCCATCTGTTTTGGGTAGAGCCCTACGTCCCATGGGAAACCCTTTCTGGCTGGTGGTATGGGAGGAACCGTCTAAAGAGGGTTTCTGCTCTTCGTTCCCTCAACATTCATTTCTCTGCTGTCACTTCCAGAGCCTCCTGAGATTCTACTTTGGCATCTCCAGCATTTGGCCTCTGCTCAGGTAGGCTCTTCCATGACAAGTCAGGCCTCATTCCCCCTCCTTACTTATGTCCTAACCCCCAAACTGTTGCTCTCTCAGTAGTTATTTAAACGTCAGAGAGCTTTATCTGCCCATGCACTCTGATGTCTTAAGTTTTGGGGTGTCTCCAGCCTCAGGCAGGATCAGGTCTGTTTGTCTTTAAACTCGGACTCCCTCCGCTGCACATTGGCCCGGAAACGGGATGTAGGTTATGAAATCAGTGCTCCAGAGGCCTGGGTTACAGGTCACGCCGCTGGGCAGATCCCAGCCTCAGTGGGCCTCTGGAATTATCTTCCTCAAACCCTAAGACTGTCAGCTCCTTGAAGGCAGAGACCTTTGATTTCTACATCCCCAGACCAGAGTAATTCGTCGGCATAGCCAGTGCACCCAGGAAGTGTGTTGATGAAGAAGCCTGAAAAATCTAAACTTCAGTTTGTGGATTTTTGTCAGCCTCTTAATAGAAACCATCCCATTTTAACACAGCTGGTTGGATTGAAATTGTTTTGCATTTGTAGAACTTTAAAGCCAGAAACACATCTTCTGCTCTGTACTGACATTTAGTAGATGCTCAGGAAACATTTGTTCCTGTCCTGTGCTCCCGGTCTGAGTGAATGGCGCCACCTGCTCCCACTGTCCCGCAGACTCATTCTGAGGCCCCTCTGCTCTGCCCCGCGCATTGAGTTCTCAGAGTCTGCTTCCTAAGTGTGTCTCCTCCACTTTCTCATCACTGCCCAGATGTGGTGGCCCTCACCTTTAAGTCTTGAAGCCTTCGTTTACCTGGGGACAGTTTCAGCCGTCTCCTTCCTGTCTCCCAGCTCTAGTCTGGCCTTTCTAGTCTGATCTGCACTTTGCTGCCTGAGTGGTTTGTTGAATGGTCATCTCTGATTGCTGTCCCTGCTCAGGACTCTTCTTTGGCTTCTTAGTGCCAGCTTGCATTTGTTCACTTAATAAAATGTATCTGTGTATTTTGGGCCGATGATATACTCAGCAGGCCCTGGGGTGCAGAGCTGAATAAAACAGACACTGGCCTCACATGGGCTGAACTTGCCATTTATTCTAGGGGGTGACACAGATTATTTAATCACATAATCGCCCAGATAGTTGTATAACCACGATCGTGATAAGGGCTGTAAAGGAAAGGACTTGGTGCTGTGAGAGCACGGAGCTGGTGTGCGGGGTGGGGAGGGGGTGGTCAGGAAGGTGACCTTTACGCTGGGCTCTAAGGCACAGCAGGGGAGCCAGACCTGAGCAACATCAACTGATTTGCATGGAATACAGGCTGTTGGGTATCTGGCCCTTGCCTCTGTCTGACCTTGTCTCCCGTGCGCTGCGTGTATTTTTGTCCCAGACACACCAAGCTCTCTCAGGTCTCCTCTGGAAAACCTCTTTCCCACCATCCCCATTGTCAATTCCTAGTTCAGACACAGAAAAAATCCATTTCTCTGAGCTCCCTCCTATGAACCCCAGATCGTGAACGCCTTGAGGCAGGGCCCCTCCTCCCAGTCCGGCAGAGGTGTGCAGGGGCAGTTTGTTGGGACTGTGGAGGGCGAGGGTACTGATATCAAAGTAAGACGGGGTACAGCCCCTCTCAAGATCAGACTTTCCTGGGAGGAAGGCCAGTTCTGAAAAGCTGTGCAAAAACGTGTGATTTTGATCCCACTCATGCCTTGCTCATGTGCATTAGCCCATGTAGCTTTCAGAGTAGCTGTCCAGGGTGACCAGTGTCTCTTATGAAGATGTGCCTGTTGGGGAAGGTGGGTCACGGGATGGGCTCCAGGATCTGTGGTACTCGTCCCACTGCGCTGGGATGCTGCTCCTCAGATTTGCTGAATAAATGAATTTAGATCATTTTCAGAGTGTACCTCTGTGGTGGATTTAGGAAGAAAAGTGGTATTTTAAATGCCGAATCTTAGGGTGCTGTGTGTACACACACCTTTTAGGCCATCCTGTTGTCTTCGTATTGCACAGTGGGGGGAAAATGTCTGCATAATATGTCTAACTGGGCTTAATTAATATTCAGCCACGTCAGTTCTTCTATATTAGAGAGATTATATTTTAGATAACATAAGTTTGATAGTATAGCTCATCTAGATAAAGTTCATTTTATTTTTTTCAATTACAGTGGACATACAATATTATACTAGTTTCAGGCGTACAGCGTGGTGATTACACATTATTATAACTTACAAAGTGACCACCTGACACCATACCTAGTTATTACAATATTATTCACTATATTCCCTATGCTGTACATTACATCCCCGGGAGATAAAGTTCATTTTAGATTAAGGATACTGTACTAACAATTCATGGTCAAATTATGTAGCCAGAGTGTAATGTTTTCATGGATCTCTTTTTAAAATAGTCAAAATATTGTGCAGCCTTTTTATTTATTCATTCATTTATTTACTTGGACCAGAGCAGAGCGTTTGAATTTTGAAGTAAAGTTTAACTTTCTGTTTTACCTCGTTTCTACAGATTAGGCAGTTCTCTGTTGGCATAAAGTATTATGAGTAAGTACTGCTGAAGAAGTTTGGGTTGAGAATATCCAGTCTGCAGTCTTAAGGCTTGGTTTTCTCCTTTGCTCCCCTGTTTTGTGAGTATTTGCTAATCCTCTTGTGAAAGAAAATCCTTTTTTGGAAACAAATGGAGAGAATGTAATTTGCAAAAGTCCATTAAAATTGCAGTCTGGGGAAGGATAACGTTTTTAAGCAGAAACAGGACCTCCCTAAATTGTACCTGGAGTACTTGCTTGGTGTTTGCTGTCCTGTGCCTCTGGGACACAATCTTGCCATCACGCATTGGATGCAAACTGTAAAGGGGAAGTTATTTTCCAGGTACTGTTCCATTTTCAGATGACCAATAAGTACCTCAGTCTGTCTTTTGAATGGTTATTTGTCTGTAACTTCCTTTTTCAACTTAAAATGCAGTTTCTAAACATTTCAAGAAGTTGGGTGGGTTTTTTGCACTTTACTTTTTTATTGATGTTTTAGAAAGAGAGAAAAACATTGATTTGTTGTTCCAATTATTTATGCATTCATCAGTTGCTGCTTGTGTGTGCCCTGACCGGGGATCAAACCCGCAACCTTGGCTTATTGGGATGACACTCAAACCAACTGAGCTACCTGGCCAGGGCTATCAAAAACTTTTTAATGGAGTTATTTGTTAACGATGTGTATTAGGTGAGTCTTTGGTGGAGCCGAGGGATTTCCTCCTCTTAATTAATTGCTGGGGCAGGTAACTTGCATGTCATGTCAACTGGAGAAACAACAGAGATGTCAAAGTAGATTTATTCTAGTGCTGTTGTTGCCCTCGGATTTAGAAAGGCCTCGGTCCAAGGGAGAGATGCAGGGCCTGAGTCAGTGGGACCTGGTGTCCGACGGGGCAAAGAAAGTCCTCAGCCTCCCTGATCCTGCTTTCTCAGGGTGAAGTGGCCGTGATACGCCCACTCTGTTGCGGTTGTGAGGAGTAAATGATATAACAGTGTAGAGCCCACTGCCTACACAGATGCCCAATAATTAGATTGTTTACTCCTTCTGAGACCTGCCCTGAAATGAAACTGGAATTCTAAAATGAGCATTTGTGGCAGTGAAAGACACTTTAAAAATTCGAAATGAGACACAGAAAAGTCTACTGTGGTTTTGCTATAGGACTCATTTCTATGTAAACCTCCTTAGGGTAAGAGTAGATTTTTAGGAAAATATAGGTGATAATGAGAGATCTAATAAGTCAAAACAAAACCCGGTGTTTTATGGAACTTTAAAGTGAACAGTGAACTTTTAAAATTGGTTTAAATTCTCTAATGACCTTATTCTTATGTTGCTTTCATGTTAATAACCTGAGTTTTTCCCTTCTGTTGAGGCCTCATATCAGCTCGGTGATGAGAAGCTGCCTCTGTGCACTGTTCATCCTTTAATGACTTTAATTAACCTTAAGTATAATTCAAACAGAGATGTGGAGACTTGCTTAGTGTGGCAAGTTTTCCATTAGTTCTGATAGGTGAGAGAATATTGCAGCTGCCTAAATGGTGAGCCACTGGGCATTTTCAGGATCAGCCTTCTTAGCCCTGCTGAACTTATCTCACTTGTACCCCAAATCATAACCTCTCCCCAACTGGTGCTCTTTCCAGAGTCAGCCAGCGGCCTGTACTCTGCCACCTGTTTCCCCACTTTCAGGGACCGTGTTTCTGTCCCTGTCCAGGGGTCCTGCCTTTAGAATCCCCCAAACTTCCTTTGACATACTTCGCTTCACTAACTTGTACAAGTGTTTGTTTGTTTTATATGTAGATAACATATCTGTAAGATTGTAAAGGACAGTGACTGTGTTGTGTCCTACACAATTAGGGCTCAAATATTTGCTAATGAAAATAGACTCTGTTCCTGTTCCTTCCTCAGCCTGAAGGAATTGCATCCCTGTTCCTTCCTCAAGGGAAGGAAAATATTTCAGTGACTGACTTGTTTATTAACATTACATAGATAGGCTTTAGACGACACTTTCAGAGAAATTGGTTTATTTCCTAGGTCTCAGTGGAAAAGTAAATTGAATGAATAATTATGTACAGAAAGTAAAAAAATTTAGTAACCTCCACCTTTCCTGGATTGTAAAAGCAGGACATTAACTGCCAGAGACTTGAAAAGAACAGAAAAGCATAAAGAGGAAAAAATTCTATAACCTTGTCAATTTAACATTTTGGTATTTTTAACATATCTGTGCCAGTTGTATGCTTTTTCAAAAAAATTGGGATCCTATGCCATGAACTTTGTTTGGTATGTGAATTTTTTTACTGTTTTATTGTGAGAATTTCCCCATGAGATTATTAAATAGCCTCGAAAACCAGCAGCATTATGTTAATGTCAGGTGTACTGGGATTCAGCCACTTTTTTACTCTAGACCTTTAGGTTATTTCTGATTTTTTTTTTTCTTCATATATAAGTATCACTGGACATTGTTGAATATAAGTGTGCCCCTGTCTTTATTTCATTAAGACATAAATCTCACAGTAAGATTTTAAAGTCAAGGGTGTGCATTATCTTGAGGCTCTTCATACATGTGTTGCCAAATTGCATTTCAGAATCATTTGCAGCCCCGCAGTGTGAGGGAATCCTCAGATGAGTCTCTTTGCAGTCAGAGTCAATGAAATGTTAGGTGTTTACGGATTTGTTTATTTTTTTCTGTTCCAACATTCTTTTTTGACTGTATCTTAATAACCATCTTTGTCATAATATCAGCAGGGGGAGGGTGGTAGGCAGTTAAAATGCGTTTGACTATTAATACAAGCTTTGGAAGAGAGGTTTGATGATTAAGTTTTTAAATTCTCCATAACTTCCAACTTATGTTCTGTTTTCCTGGCAAAGAAGCAATTGTGGGTTGACTTTATTTTGGAGGGATTTCTGCACACCAGCTTTTGCTTATGTCATTATTTATTATGTGAGCACTTTATATATACCAGGGCTGTCACCATACTAGTTTTTAGGTCTCACTTACCCTTTGGTGTAGACAGTAACACGCTTAGTATTTTTCATCGCTTTCATGAGAGGCAGTCAGTACCTTTTAGGAATTTGAACTTGTTACCTGTGTGCTGGCCCAGGGTCTGCGGCTTGGATGTTAACCCTTTATCTCCGCAGACCCGAGTACTCTCCATCAGTTAATAAGTCACCTGGCTCCTGAATACACTCCGATTCCTTGATCCATCCTGGACTCTAGCTTGTTTTACTTGGAGGAAATAAAGATGACTTAACCCAGCGCTTCAAGGGATCGATCCGCATTGGCAGCCCAATCACTGCCTTGAGGGACTAGAGCAGGCTCTTCAGCCTGGCATTCCTGGTCACCTCGGTGACCCCGAGTCCATTAAAATTGACTCCTTAGAAGAAAACTTTCAGAACCTGCTTGAGGAGGCCGTTACTTTCCATTGGGAAATACTTTCTTAGACATTTGGAGGTACATTTCTCATAATAAATAATTGGCTTTAACCTTTTAATTTGTAGTTCCCACCTTAATTCTGTCCAGTGACTCTAGGCTGATAACCACATGGTCATAACCGTGCAGTCCCGTGAAAAGCTCTCGGGCCGCCCGTAGCCGAGGACCTGTCTGGTCCCTGACCCCGGCTTGTGCTGCCAAGTGGCAGGAGGAGCGCTGCTGCGCACGCGGGGGGCCCTGGCTTTGGAGCAGAGCCCGCGCTGCGCCCGCGTCCCAGGGCCCTGTTGCTCCTGCTTGCCGCGGAGGCTGGTGTTCCCCGAGGGTTCCGTCTCCTGTCACGCTCCCAGCCTGTGCCGGGTTCGCTGTGGGTGCCTTTAATCGTTCACCAGTGAGGTCAGGGGCGTGACAGTCATTGAGAGTGGCACTTCCTCCCTCAGGCTGGCTTTTCTTTGAACACACAGTTTAGTCTGATATGTCCCCTGAGTAAGAATTACAGTTTCCTTTTTTTTTATGTTTGTAGAAGATAGCTGATAATTTCCACGTGTAAAAAGCTTAAATCCAGTTTGTGTGGCTTTTTAAAAACTCATCTTTTACTTGTTTATATTAGAAGGCACATATTTTTTTAAAAAGCATGTCATTCGTTTGGGAGGTTTTCGTACATTGGAACATTGGTGGCCTGATTTCGTGGGGAAAGTGGTAATGCCCCAGACAGGACGCAGAGAGGTTGCAGAAGTGGCCTCGTGTTTGCACGTGGCCCTCCCTGTCCATCCCCTCTCCTGCCACCGTGCCGTGGTTTGGTTCCTAGTGGCCGTCGGGCAGGGCCACCTCTGTTCAGGGGGCCGTTTTGTCCCTACCTCTGCTGGGGGAGGAGTGAGTGGGAGACATTGTTTGATATACAGACCACGCTGCAGTGGTGACGATGTCAGTGACAAGCCAAAAGAGAAATTTGACAAGAATGAGAGGGTGGATTCCAAAATGACAGGAGGCTTCAGCAGAGGCTTCTCTACAACTGTTTTCAGCAGCTTGCAAAATGTGCGTAGGGCCGCCCACGCTTCCTTCCTCTCCTGCAGCCACGCCCGGCGCTCGCCCCTGCCCCTGCCCCTGCGCCGGAGCATCAGCATTTTCTTGCAACACTCGCTGCTGCTACTTCTCTGTCAGGCGTGAGCCGCTCCACCGCTCGGCCGTCACTTAGCCCAGCCCCGTTTCATGCCCGCGGGAGCATGTGCTGAAGTAGACGGCTGCTCGAGAACGGCCTAATTTAGTGGTTTTCCTGCTGTAAAAGATGTCATCTGAGCTCTGTCATCATAATACTGATTTAGAATAACTTGGTGTGTGGAAAAGGCTCATCAGATAGAGGAAAAGGTAGTTACCACTTCATATACAGCATCTTAGTTTTGTAAAGCAGCGTAGGTTTAAAGGACATATACTCCACTCTAAAGGGCGATCATCCCAGATGGGATTACAGGGAGAGTTTTTTTTACCCTCTTGTGCTTTTCTGCATTTTCCAGATTTTCTAAAGTGAACTTGTTTTATGGAGAGAAATACTTAAAAAGGGATACAGCTCCACCCTCTGTGTCTGTGTGCACCAGTGTGCACACACTCGAGTGTATTCCATTTTATTTAAAAATGTTTGTCTGGACATCCATTATACATAGAAAATAATTTGGAAGGCACTTTACCAAAATGCCAACAGAGGTTATCGCAGAGGGTAGACTAAAGGATGATTGTTTACAAATTCCCTTCTTTTTGACAATCTATATGTTCTAATTGTATTTTTTCCTACATTGCACAGGTATAATTCCTTTCATAATTGAAACAAAAATTCTAAAAGGAAATGAAAATGCAGGATGCAAGATACAGTTATGTACAGAATGGTCACGCGTTTGTAAAACAAAATAAAGAAGTTGTGTATGAATCTCTGCAGAAAACCCCCACAATATTAATAGTGCTGCTCTTTAGTGGACAGACTGGATGCCTCTATTCTTTCTGCTTTCCAGTCTGTATTCGAGATTTTTCTGTGAGATATTACTTTGATGGGAACAATGTAAAGAAATAGTCCTTTTTTGAAAGGATAGATTTGATAGAAAGTCATCTTAGTGTCAGTTTAAAAGCAAGTACTTAGATTTTGTGCGATGCTCGATTGAAAAATCATCAGACTTTGATGCTCAACTAGAGACATTATTTCCTTTATCAGCCTTACAGCACCCATTTTCAATTTCATACATTTTAGGAAAATGAACAGCAGAATTTTTATGAAAGCCAAAGAGATAATAGCTCAGTGAATTCATTCTCTTGAAGCAGAGTGGAAGATTGAAAGCATGTCTGCTTGGGAGAGGGGAACACAGGGCTCGGGACAGTGGTGGTGGGTGGTAGCTGGTATTTAATGAATGCTTGCTCTCTGCCAGCTTTATACTGAGCACTTTACCTACATTAATCCATTGAATCCTCGCCACAACCCATAAGGTTCTCTTCTTACTATACAGTGTCTGATGAGGAAACTGGCCTCACAGAGATCAGGGTTTGCTCAGGTCCCATGGCTAGTAATTGGCGAGCTGGGATTCCAGCCCAGTCGTTGGCCTTCAGGACCAATGCCAACCGCGCTGGACCATCACACTGCCTTGCCATAGAGACTATGGGTGAAACAGGCTACTGAGAGAGAGAAGCAGGCACCGGTGATGGTGATGGGAGGAGCTGCTGTATCCCACTTGGAGCTGAAGGACCAGGTGCATCCCACGGTTCACCTGTCACTAGATGTAGGCCTGTGCCCATGACTTTGCCGGCCCTGTTTTGTTCTGTAGAACTGCCTCCATCTCTCTTCATCCCCTCATTCCCAGCAGAAAAGGTGTTCTGTGTGTTCCCTGATGGTGGCATTGTCACCAATTTCTGTTGGCTGCTAGAGGACCTTGTTGGAAAGGTTGCCCTCCTGAGCTGTTGGAGTATTTCATTGGAGGGGCTTCTGCAGGCAGGTTGGGCTTGGAAGCCAGGCTGAGCCCGACTGGAGCTGCAGAGGGCTGCTCAGTGGGCATCTTGAGCCTCACTGTGCCTGCCTCAGAGGCTCTCAGTGAGGAGTCTGTGAAATGCAGGTTGGGTGCCTGCTACCTGGGCGGCACGTAGAAAACGTGTTTACTGTTGTCCAATATCATTATTTCTTCCTCCTGCCAGTGGAATAACCTTTCTGACCTGTCTACCTGGGACGATCTTTATGTGTCTGTTCAGTGTGAAGTTCCTGTTACTTCAAAGATTCCTGGAACGGGTTGTGATTCACAGAGGGGAGAAAGATAACTGGAGACGGGGTCACTGAAGACAAATAGGCCGTTTTCATGTTTGGACCCAGCCTTAGGGTGTATGTCTTGACTTGAAGCAAGTTTAAAGCAAATTGAACTAAACTAAGATCTTTCTCTGTATTTTGTTTTAGGAGAAAGAAGCAACTAACAAAACACAGAAATAACAAGGATTGCTCAGTATGCAGCTCACAGGGTGAGTCTCGGAACCAGTACACAGCCAGCGTTACCTCACATAAGCCCCGTCTAACATTCGGCATCGGTGTTCACAGGGTTTCAGGCGCCGCGGGTCCCCAGAGATTATAAAAGTGGTTTCATTATTTCCTTCCCTAACCCAAAAGACACTTGATAGTGGGACTAGGCAGTGAACTGATACTTTATTATTATTTTTAAAGATATTTTATTGATTTTTAGAGAGAGAGGAAGGGAGAAGGGAGATTAACATCAATGTGAGAATGGAACATTGATTGGCTTCCTCCTGCATGTCCCCTACTGGGGACTGAGCCCGAAACCCGGGCATGTGCCCTGATCAGGAATCGAACCAGCAACCTTTAGGTGCACAGGACAACGCCCAACCAACTGAGCCAAGTCGACTAATATTTTAAAAGGTGTTCAATAATAAGGATACTTTTTCTCCTAATCGTCAGTTAATTATGTCCTATTTTTAAAAAAATTTATCTCTATTGTTGAAAATATGTCCTGTTTTTAGGTATACAACTGTAGTTTTATATACACTGAAAAAGGGATATGTATACAAAGAAAGTACATTCGTCAATAGTGATTAATCATTTCACTACAGGGTAGCCTGTCATTATAAAGAGGTCCTATAAAATTCTTCCCATGAACATGCTCAGAGATTAAAAATTATCCCATAGTACCCCTTTGCTGACTTTTGCCATCTCTTTATTCATTTATTACTTTTGTAATAAAATTTAAATTAAATTAAAATTTAAACAAACAGATTTACTTATAAAATGTGACTTATATGCCACTTTCCAGGACTACATGTAAAGTAAAGTGATAGATGGAAAAAATATTCTATAACTTGGGGGCAGCCTGAAGAAGTTTGTTTTAACTAAAATTGCATTTGCAAACTTACGCAGTAGAAACATCAACTTGGGCAGAATTTTAAGAATAATTACTGTCCTCATAATTAATTAAAGTTGAAGATTTAAAGACACTTTTCTGCCCCCTGGAGTTAACTTATTCTATTTTTTAAAATTAAACATGCTCAAATTAAACTTTTTGGGGGGAGCTACTGTCCAAATAAAGCAAGATCTTACCACCTAGATTTTCCTGTTAATCTTATTAAAATTATTAGCTCAGATGCTAAGGATAATACGCAGGATAGAAGAAATTTGCTTTTTCCCCCTACATCTATACATAGTACTGGTTTCTTATTTAAACAGTCTTAATAGAAACAGAATTAATGACTTAGTTTTGGTTTCTGAAGTTAATTTGCAGAAACACTGTAGCATAGTGTTCAAAGCACACATCTTGGTATCAGGTGGCTCACCCCCTTCCCACACTGGCCCTGTAGCCGAGGCCAAGTTCCTTCCTACTCTGCCTCAAAATGGGGCCACGAATCCCTGTCCCTGAGGCCAAGTGTAAGGATTACGTGAGGATGACAGAACATTTCGCATGGAGCTGGTATGTCGGACTCCTTCAGTAAGTGGCAGTTGATATTTATTATTACAGTAATTACTAAAACAAGGAACATATGAATACACATATTAACACTGGCTTACGTTTGTATATTGTATGTGTGTATTGAGGTAGTCAGTATATATTTTGACTTTATATATAGAGTGGGGGGGGAGGTAATGCCAGATATGTGATTCATATCATTTCTGTTTGCGTGGGAAAGTGACTTTATGCTCTTTTATAGTTGATATTTTAACTCTTAAGATATTATTCTAAATGTACCATTGTTTAGAGTAGTCAAATGTTTATAAAGGGTGTGGGGTTTGATATAAGAATTCAGTTTCCATTTATTTACTTCACTTAAAAAAATTTTAAGAGAAGCTTGAAGTTACAAAAGGAAATGGTACGGAAACTTAATTTTGTTCCTCCTCTTATTTTGTAGATGCCCATGGCCACACTGAAAATGAATTCCTTATTTTCACCAGATATCCTTGTCTGAGAGGACCCATTTCAAAGAGTCCGCGTAGTTTTCTTGTGTCGGACCAGCATGGCGGGATTCAAGCGCGGATACGACGGGAAAATTGCCGGGCTGTACGACCTGGACAAAACCTTGGGCCGAGGCCACTTCGCAGTGGTTAAGCTTGCCAGGCATGTCTTCACGGGTGAAAAGGTGGCGGTGAAGGTTATCGACAAGACCAAGTTGGACACGCTGGCCACCGGGCACCTGTTCCAGGAAGTGCGGTGCATGAAGCTGGTGCAGCACCCCAACATCGTGCGCCTCTACGAGGTGATTGACACCCAGACCAAGCTGTACCTCATTCTGGAGCTTGGGGATGGAGGAGATATGTTCGATTACATCATGAAGCACGAGGAGGGACTTAACGAGGACCTGGCCAAAAAGTACTTCGCTCAGATCGTTCACGCTATATCTTACTGCCATAAACTGCACGTGGTGCACAGGGACTTGAAGCCCGAGAACGTGGTCTTCTTCGAGAAGCAAGGTCTTGTGAAGCTGACGGACTTTGGTTTCAGCAACAAGTTTCAGCCGGGGAAGAAGCTCACTACCAGCTGTGGGTCTCTCGCGTATTCCGCTCCGGAAATTCTGCTCGGGGATGAGTATGATGCGCCTGCAGTAGGTGGGTCACCCCTTCAATCCCGGCTGGAGTGCAGCTGGCCAAATCAGTTGGTTTTTAACCTAAAGTTAATTTCTAAGAGAATTTCTATTATGTGCCTCTTAATGAACAGATCGGGCTTTATGAGCGCTGTATATCCCTAAAGCTGGCAGTTTATTTTACCCTTTAAATGGCAGATATTTAAAGCATATTTGTCAGAACAAAGGGAAATGAATAAGTTATCACTTAAGGTCATCTCTCATCTGCTGCTTATAATTTTTTTTAAGGCCTGGGTACTTTTCCATTCTTCTTAGATTCTTCTAGTCATCACTTTTCCGTGAGTCCCCACAGTCACTGAGGCCCATATTGGGAAGGCACTATGAATATTCAGTGCACTGGAACCATTTATTAGTTGTGACCCTGAGCAGCGTGCTTGATCTCTGTTTCATTTCTTCATCTGTAAAATAATTAGACCAGCTGCAGGTATTGTATTATTATGTACAACAAGACACTGCTTTTCAAGTTAGAGTGTGTGTTTTGGAATAGGAAAGGCTAACGAATGATTCCTGGAAGGCAGGTATCCATCCCACTGCAGGTGTTCCTGAGATGTGTAGGGGTTGTCTTTACTTTTATCTTTAATAATAAGGCCTGATTCTGGTCTGGGAACGAAAGTCGCTATGATAGAAACACACTGCAGTTTTCAGTGTTCAAATGTATGCTAATGGGTGTCAGTCTTAGACTATATTTAAAAAAATAAAAATTTAAAAAACCAGGTAATGAGCCAAAAATGATCCTGTGTCCACTGAGGTGAGAGCAGGTAGCCTTTACCATGATGAAAGCGTGGACTCGTATTTATTTTAGAGCCGCGGCTCCTCCCTTGCTCTGGTTCAGTGATGCCCTAAGTTCCGATGAAGGCTGTGGACACATCTTTAAATCATGTGCTCAAGTGTCTTTATTCCTTTCTCCGGCCAACTTATTGCATGTGCAGAGCATCTCAAAATTCAGTGTGAATTTAAAGATGACTGTCTGGTTCATATAAAGAGAATTGCCTTGTCTTGTGAAAAAGTAGGTTAGTAAAACGTAAGTTCTGAGTCTTCGGGTATTTCGTGAGGAGGTAGAAACTGGGCTGAATGGCACAAGTGTGTCTATCTTAGAAAGAAGGTAAGAGAAGGGAGGGATTTTAGAGGCAGGTTTCCTTTCCTCTGTCCCGCTGCCACGGTTTTCAGGTGCCCACATGTCCAGGTGAGAGCCGGCCCTGGGGCTGTGGACGAGGCCAGGTTGGGAACCCCCGCGGGGACAGCTGTAAGGAGAGGGGAATGCTTTGGGTTCCCAGGCCGAGGTGACTGAGGTGACAGTTTCAGGTAACCTCTACTAAAGAAAGCAGTGCTGATCAGTTCCTTTTCAACCATCCCCTTCAGTCTGTTCCTGTCACTCCTCTGTTTGGAACACCTTCAAGATCTCCCTTTTGTCCAGAACCCAAGCGAGAGCCCTCACCGTGGCCCGTGGGATTGGGTTCCCCGTCTCTTCTCCGGCTGTTCCCCTGCTGTCCCCAGCTGCCTCCTCACTGTTAGTCACACTGCACATTCTCCTGGCCTCGGGGCCCTGCACCTCCCATCCCCTGGCCTAGGCTACTCTTGCCCACGTGCCACCTCCTGGGCGCCCCACCCCTGCCTGTCTCCTGCCCCACCTGACCCTTTTCTCTGGTCTCCCACTTCCCCTCGGGAAATGGGGGTAGTAATTGTTCCTGCCTTAGGGTTGTTGTGGGGATTGGATGAGTGGATCGTGCCTGTGAAGTACACGCCAGAGGAAGTACACGCCAGAGGCAAATGCAGCCTCAGTAATCAGCTGCGCCGCCTCGGCACCTCCTGTTGGAGAGGTCACAGAGCAACTGACATTTCTTTGGTGCTGTGGCTGCTGTCCCAGGGGGTGTGTAAGGATCATGGCCGTGTTTTCCTTCTGAGGTGCTTTCTGCTTTGGAAACTTGTCCTCGGGAGAATTTCTGAAATGTTGGCTGCCGTGGGAAAACTGGGAGAAAGGGCAGGCCCAGGATCTTTGCTCGTGTGTTTTCCTTCTCAGTTTTAGTCATATTTGACTTTCTGAATGTTAGGTTGTTTGTATTTAGGGAGTAGGGCACCTTCTAAAGTAGGCACTTTTCTGAGTGTGTATTAAATGTTAGATAAAGGAAAACGTGAAAGTCCTGGTATTTATTTGATAACTGGTTAGTTTCTTGGATCTTCAGAAGAGCTTTGAAAACTACCCAAACAGTCATATTTTAATGTAGAAGCCACGTAGGAACTGAAACCACATACAGGAAACTTTAGTGAGTTGAAAACATCAAATCTGCTTGGATATTTTTTAAGCTTTTTTGTGTGCGTTTCAGTGGGGAAGGAGAAAAAAACCTGTTGAAGAAAGTCTAGTTTGCAGAACAGAAAATCAGTAGTTAGAACAAACTTGAACACAGTACATTTGGAATCCTGTTAGAATACACATCGCTGCACAGACTCAACCCCAGTAGCCAGGTGTGCTTACTGCAGTGCTTACAGGACCTGCTGGAGGTGGGGTTACTGCAGTGCTTGTAAGACCTGCTGAAGGTGGTTACTGCGGTGCTTGTAAGACCTGCTGAAGGTGGGGTTACTGCAGTGCTTGTAGGATCTGCTGAAGGTGGTTACTGCAGTGCTTGTAAGACCTGCTGAAGGTGGGGTTACTGCAGTGCTTGTAGGATCTGCTGAAGGTGGGGTCACTGCAGTGCTTGTAGGACCTGCTGAAGGTGGTCACTGCAGTGCTTGTAAGACCTGTTGGAGGCTGAGTCACTGCAGTGCTTGTAGGATCTGCTGAAGGTGGTCACTGCAGTGCTTGTAAGACCTGCTGAAGGTGGTCACTGCAGTGCTTGTAAGACCTGTTGGAGGCTGAGTCACTGCAGTGCTTGTAGGATCTGCTGAAGAGCACATGTGTCTGCTTCCATGCGCGGTGCTGGGCTTGCTAACTCGCTCTGCTTGCTCCGAGATGGCCCTGGTGGGAGCAGGTAGTGACGGTTTCTGGGGAAGCTGTCCACTCATGTCTGGGAGTTGCATGTGTGGTCCCAGAGTTGTCCTGACTCCCAGAATGGCTTCTTGGGAAACAATGACATTAACATGCAGAGTTACTTCTTGGGTTTAGTTCTTTCAAGGGCTGTGGCTTCTGTCAGCCCCTCAGGTTAACGTGGACTTTGGTGGAGAGCAGCCGGGGAACAGGCGCCGCGGAGCTGAGCAGACGCTCTGGGAGCCGGGGCTCCGCTGCAGCTGGCATTCCAGATGCGTGGCCGTCCCCATTTTTACATCTTATTGTCACCGTTGTGTGTAACCCGTTTCCTACATCACCCACTTTGGAAAGCGCTGACTTACCTAATTTATCTTGATTTATTAGCCTTATAGTGATGTGATGTATAGTCCAAAACAGTGCCTACTTTAATACTTTCAAATTTTAATTCAGAATTGTTTTAAGCTTGGAGCCTGGGGAGGACCTCGGGATGCATGGCAGTGTCTGCCGAGAAGGAAAACAAGACTATGGAGCGAGACTCCGTGGAGGCACCGGATTCTGGTGCCCGGGACGCAGCAGGCACAGAGCAGGCACCCTGGTGGGGTGAAAACTAGAGGGGCTGTGGGTGGCTAAAAAAAGAGGGTGAGGAAATGCAGACGGCACATGCCCCGATTGCCTCTTCCCTTTGGAACTGGATGGGGTGATGCCAAGACTTGCCGGCTCCAGATGGCTCCCTTGTCCCTCTTGCTCAATAGTAGGGTCCTTGAGAGGGAACTGAGTGTCTGTTTATGTCCTATCTGTGCCCCGGCCTCACCGCCCAGCAAACAGGACGAGCTCTCGATGTTTAAATGAATCAGCGTCGCAGGGACGGACTAAAGAAATGAAAGTTTACATTCGTCTAAACTTTGTCCTAGGTTCAGCGCGGGCCCTCCGCGCTGCTCGTGGTCCCTGCTCGTCCCGATTCCTCCCCTTGCCTCCTGCGTATGTTCCGCGTGTTCCAGGCTCGCGGACACTCGGGGGCGCGGCGTCACGGGTGTGGCGTGGCCACCGTGCAGCCCTCTCTCACCGGGTGTTTTTAAAAAGGTCTGATTTTGGAAAGGCACAATGTGTAACTGGTTGTCGCGTCACCAAGGTATTTAGAAATAGCCCGAGGCATTGTTCTGGCCAGGTGGGGATCCCAGACATCAGAGCGTCCAGACGGACTTTGTCTGAGGATGTACCCGAGGTGGGTGACTGCTGGCTCCGGCTTGGTGTCCCCTTTCCCTTGAGCCCTCAGGTTTGTGCTTAAACAGGGAGCTGGAACTCGAGGGGGAAGGCCCGCAGCACTGCCCTGAGCCCACCCCATACACCCCCCGGCTTCCCCAGACCAAGACCCCTCTGTAGACACTGNCTGGAACTCGAGGGGGAAGGCCCGCAGCACTGCCCTGAGCCCACCCCATACACCCCCCGGCTTCCCCAGACCAAGACCCCTCTGTAGATACTGAGATAGCACCCGGAAAACATCTGTATCGGGGATTCTGTGGCCCCACAATCCTGTCCCCTTTTTTCTGTCATCACATTTTATAAGACTATTGGGGATTTTTATGAAACATCAGTGTGTTGAATATTTGAGTTTTCTAAATGCCTGAAGGAAGTTATTTGTGCTAAAAATGACAATTAAAATAATCCCATCTGTAGCCATTCATGCTGCAGAGAGAAGTCTGAATCCATGAAGGGAACCTTGCAAACCAGGTGTCCCCGGGCCACAGGTTGAGGATCACCATGAGGAGAGGACATGTCCGGGTTTTGTTACCTTTTATATTCCTATAAAGAGCTGTGCTTACTCAGTTAAAGTATGTACACATCATAACATTCTGTTAAGCACAGCTAATTTTTAATTTTTTACAAGTACTAAACGGATATTCCTGTAAGATAATTCAAATAATATAGGGGTACTTTGAATGAAAAGTGTAAACTCCCTTTTACTTTCCCTTCTCATCCCACTCCTGCACTTAGAGGTCACCTTTTCT